TTTTACAATTTCGTTATCCACCTGATCTGTGGACAATATACAACAATGTGAATAAGTTTTTGCAAAATATGAACTTTTAATGTTTTGGGCAATTCATGTCACAAAACTTTAACTCATGAGAAATACTACTACTAATGAGTCTGCCCCATAAAGTATTGTTTAATGGTGTAAAAGTAAGTTTTTAAATTTTTTTGTATAATTAGTGTATTAAAAACTAAAATAATTAACTATTTTATTTTTTTAAATCCTTTAAAATTGTCATTAAAAATCTCATTAGCAACATCATTAAAATATATCTTGTTTCGAACAAAACAAAACACACATTGCTACAAAAATTTCATCTCTATGTTTTCACCACGTTGGTTCGAAATTTTTTTTTCATTATTTTTTTACTAAATGTTTTTTTTTTTAATTTGATATTTGACTTTGAACAGACTAATTCAAAAGTCAAATATTAAAATTCAATAACAAAAATCTATTTAAAATGAGAACAAAGGTTTATATAAAATAATCCAACATAAATCATTATTATTATGTAATAATTAAAGTTGAAATCTTAAAAATAATATCTTCCTCACTAACAAACAAATTCTATAGTTTTTTAATAATACATGTTAACTTGTGCCTTACTTATATACTATTAAAAGATTTATCTTAAAATTAATAAATTCCAGTTTTTTTAAAATTAAAATGTTATTTATAAATAAAAAATTTAATGTCAAATTCCGTAGCTTCTACTTATAAGACAAAAGTTAACAAAACCTTTTATATTCACACTCCATTTTTTAACACTTTATTTGGAATGCACAATACTATTCATCTTATGAGGTGAGAGTGAACAAATTGGAAATTTGAATCAGTGTTTATATATTTAGGAAATATATTTTGGAACATATTTAAAATGCATATAAGGCTCCTTACGTGAGTTATTCATTTTATATTTGTCAAAATCTCGTTTGAAAATGTATCTGCGCGATCACCTCAAAAAAATTACATAGATGTATTATTGAATTAGTTTTTGAAAGTATTTTGTGCTTTACAAGTGAAGCATTTATCTCAAATTTCTCAAAATATGGATTAGAGATGCATTTTTGTAAATTGTAAGAGTAATTCCGTAGATGTATCTCCGAAATAATCCTTGAAACCATTTGAGAGATTTTGCTTTGGTAACAAGTGTCATAAATTGATATTTTTTAGACCATTTACACTAATGATATATTAACCATGTTAAGTATACTAATTTAATTCAAACATGTCATATATAAATTCAAATCAAAACAATAATTAAGTAGTCGAAAATGTTACCACGATACATAATTTGTTTAAAAAATACAACTGTTACCAAAATACAAATAAAAATAAACTACTGTGTATTTCTAACCCCCTGCTTGTATCTCAAGGCATTTTGTGCCTCAAGTGAGGTGGTCTGTAAGGTGTCAATACTAGGTCTGTCTTCCGTAATGTCTCATCTTTCATTGACATCTCTTGTAACCTGCACATTAACCTGACAAACCGACAAGAGGTTCGTTGTGTGGTTATCCCTAGCCCGCTCTTATTCGAATATCTCTTGATAAGAAGCTCTAGGCAGTGCTCCCGCGACATTTAGTAGTTATACACCAAAATTCACCCTATTCATTTTAACCCTAATTGGCTTATACTTCATCATCATATGCATATATACATGTAATAGGGTCTATACTCATGGAATCAAGGGTTTTCTCTGCAAAAAAGAACTATGAAAGATGATCGTTCCGTCAGGCAGAACAACTAAGCAGAACTCAGGGTTTTCCACATTTTAATGCACTTCACATGTTGTTCCAAGTTATCCAATCAACAATCAAGCAAGCCATCATCATATCAAGCTCTTATGCATTCCAGCATGCTTTGAATTCTGCAGAAAGTCAGGTGTTTCAATTGATTTGAGAGAGTGCAAACATAAATTCAGTATTATGCGTTTCAAGCTCATAAATTCACAACTCGACATTAGAAAATGGTTTGAGATTAACTCTTCAGTCATTAGAACTGTATTGAGGTCTTCATCATTCTATTTGTTCATGTCGAAGGCTAATTTTGTGAGAAAGATTTTCTAAAGCGCAAAATACCTAAAATGCGTTATATAGTGGATTTACTGTTTCTTTGGTTTTCATATGCTTAAAAGTTCATAACTTCTCACTAGAAAATCATATTTGAGTGTCTCTTGGAGCATTTGTATCTTCTTATTATTTCCTTCAACTTTCGTGTTCGGCTCGAAAGCCAATTCATTGAGGAAGATCTCCGAATGCGCGAGTACTTAGAAGCTATACAGTGGAAAAACAATGAAAATAGTGTGCTGAACCGTTGTTTTTCAAATGTTCAAAAACTCATAACTTTCACCGGTTCGATGTTTTTGTATGGTTCTTTGGTTGAAAATTCCTTCTTTATTTTATTTTCGATTCGTATGTTCGCGTCAGGAGCTAATTCTTTGCAGAGGACCTTCGAAAGTGCGAATTACCAGAGAAAATTGCACTCTGAATTATTTTTCTACCAGAATGTTTCTTGATATTGTAAAAATCATAACTCTCTTTATTTTTATCATATCAGGACGATTCTTAAAGCTTGAGATCACAAATTTTGTAAGCTTCAACTTTGCTTCAGGTCCCGAGTTCAAATTATGCTCGAAAGACTTTGGTTTATGACTCGCATCCGAAAGTTCGAACGAAAATAAGCTTAAAGTGTTCAAAACGGTGAAATAAGTCGACTGCTTCTCGCCATTCAAAAAATCATAACTTGTTAGATTTTTATCGTATCAGGGTGATGCTTTTGGCACCGCGTCACAAATTTCGTCGTTGACGATTTTGCTTCAGGGTCTGCATCTAGATTTTGCACTGAACATCATGAACTTGTGGTTTGTTCGCGCATTGTACCCAAAATAAGCTGTAAAATTCTGCACTGTGAATTTTTACAATGCGTTTCTCGTTGTTTAGGGTGACATAAGTTTCTCAATTTTTATCATATCGAGACAATTCTTTCGACGCCGCGTCATAAATTTCGTCATTAAGAGCTTCCTGTCAAGTCGCGCATCAGGATTTTGCACCGATTATTATGAGCTTGTGGTTCAATCTCGCACTGTGCACAAAATAAGTTGAAAATTCAAGTTTGAAGTCAAAACTATATACTTCAAATTTTAAAATTCAAACACAATTACACTCACTTTTTCCACTCTCTCAAAAATCAAACCAAAAACTCTCTCTCTTTTCTCTTAACTTCTCATAAACTTCATCAAGAACAAATCACAAAAATTCAACAAAAACATCAAGATCTTGAATCAAATTTCATCTCCTCACATCAAAAACTTCCGCAAGCATCTTCTTCCAAAAACGATCCCCTTCATTGCCGTCGACGAGCATTTTCGGCCAAGGCTCCTCCGCCTCATTCCGTTGCAATCTCCGCTGCTCCACTGCCCTTCACCACATGACGTTCTCGACCATTCTTCCCCTCGGTCCGATTGCGAATACGACGGACACTCCCTTCTTCGATTGCGATAATCCGGCCAGCCCTTTCATCATCCTTTCTGGTCCAATTTTTTCTGGTAAATTTCTTGAATCTTAATTGATTTAATGCTTGTTTGAGATAATTGTTTGGTGAATTAAATTGATTTGAAGTTAATTGACATAAACATGATTTGAATTCTTGAACTTGTGATGATGAATAAATGTGGAGTGGGATGAATCTTTGACGAATTGTTGATAATTATGTAGATTCAATAATTTTTGCGTGTCAAATAATTTGTGTTGATGATGTTTATTTGAATTTGTGTGTCGATTTTGTTTCCGATTGGTTTTTGTTGGAAAATAATGTCGAATTCATGAGTTGATATAGTTTTGAGTTGAATTAAACGGTGATTCATATTTTTCCGACATTAAAATGTTTGATTCAATTAATTGTGTCAATTCGTGAATTATATTATTTATGATCGAAAACTTGTGTTTTGATGTGAATTGATCGTTTGTAATTTGTTTACAATTTCTTAGCGATAGTATTTGAACCAATAAGCGTGTTTTCGCGTCCGTTTGTAATTGTTGAAATCGATTTTTATCGATATTAGTTCAAGTATGCATCGCTGCCCGAAAAGTGTAAATATGTTGCAAAAATGCTTTCTAAAATTCGTTTGATGTTTATTCATGCATAATTGCGCGTTTGTGGACTATTACAGTTGAATTTAATTGTTTCCGGTACAATTTTTCAAGCAACTTTGTGATACGGTGTAGTTCTTTTCGGATTTTGAAAATACACTTGGAACTTGATTTAATTGTTAGCTATAGCTCGGTTGAAAATGCACTACAAAAAAATTGGCAGATTGCGACAATTATTTTGGCTGATTACGACGGTTAAAACCGCCATAATTTTCTATCCACGCCGGTTGCTTCGCAGTCGCAATAATGCGTGTCCTCAGCCTGTTTCGCGACGGTCTCACAAATCGCCACACCAACCGTCTCTCAAGTTCACGACGGGTTGGATACCATCGTGACTATCTTTTGAGTTCTTTAATTTTTAATGGCGACGGTTCGTTACCGTCGTGACTATCTTTTGAGATTTTTTTAATTGTTAATGGCGATGGTTCGGTACCCGTCGTGACACTCTTTTGGTTTTTTTTTGTAATTATTGATTGCGACGGTTCAATACCGTCGTGACAATCTTTTATAGTATTATAATTTTTAATATTATTATTTTTCTTTAAATTATTTCTCCTATAATATTTTTATGTATAGTATTATTTTCAATCACTTTGTAACGTAATAAAATTAATTCCAATAAAAAATATTTAATATCAAAAAAATGCAAATTCCATAATCAAATAAAATGTGAGTTCCATAATTATGTAATGTAGCACAAAAAACTGAAAACATATCAAATTCTAATCTTATAATAATAAGTATCATTATGCCAAAAATACATAAGAAAGTTTATAATCTAATTAATTCATATCAAATTCTAATTTGTCCTTCTTGATGATCCATTATCTAAATTCGGTAGCTAGACTCAGATGAACGTCTACCATCAGCGGGTGATTCCAATCCCTAAAAAAAAGTATTAAAATAATACTCTTTAAAACGATACTCATAAACTTCAACTTTAAATGCATCAAAATAATATACCCGTCTTCCACTAGAATTTTGCATTTGCAATAAGAGTTCAATTTCCTTTGTCCTAGCATTATCCCTTTGCGTTAAGAATGTGACTGTCTCCATCAATTCGTCAATTTTTGAATTTTTTTCTTTAAGTGCATTAATTTCTTCTTGCATTTCCTTTATTTTTTCATTTTCTGCAGAAGAAGATGCCAATCTCGTAGATCTATTAATTTGAGATGACGTAGCTCCAAGTCCCACACTACGAACATATCCATGTTGTTCTTTTCCAAATACTTTCTGAAATGCCTCATTTTTAGACACATAACACTTAATTGCAGCTTATAATTTTTCCTGCACATAAAAAGAGCAAAGGGACATGCTTAGCTATAAAATATACTACTTATTTACTACTAATTTATATGGGGCAACGCTCAATAATGCAATAGCTATAAAATATAGTAAGAATGCAGTAGCTAACATATATTGTTCATATTACATTTGTTACTGTAAGATCCATTTAATCCAATAATAATTTTTTTTTACTTTTGTTACTGTAAGATTCATATAATCCAATAATATAATCCAATAATTCAATAATATTACTTTTGTTACCTTTATTGCTGTATTATTTTTCATATTTTTCATATTTATACTGTAACAATAATCAAATTCTACACTTTAAAATTACACAGTCAAATAATAATCCAAATGCTAAAAAATGCATAGAAAGTGGAAAATGGTTACGTGTCAAATTAGTGGCTGCATTTAACTAATGAATGTGTTATGCAATATAGTGTAGGGTGCAATATAATCGTCACAATTTCTTATGAGCTTTATTATTTAACTTGTTTTCAAACAACTACAACTTCAAACAGTATATACATTATCTATCCCTATTTGTAATATTGATGTGAGTATGTTGTTTATTATATGTATTCTAGTATCTTGCTGTGGATTTTAAGGATTGTGGTATATCACCTAAATTATAGGTTCTCAAAAATACAAGTTGAAATTCCATGAGACAAAGTGTAAGACTAATTAATTATAACTTAGTAAAATTATAACAAAACTGTAATTTATTAGAACCATAAAAGAACTGTAACTTAGTAACCAGTTTTCAGACAGGTTCTCCCCACCTCTAAGAGATGCCAAAAGGTTTGAGTTTTTATCAAACCTTAAGGAGGATAAAAAGTATTTCAAAATAATTAACTTGTACTTACATTATTGTTGTATGCATCTTCATTGACAAAAGACCCATCAAACTTTTTATGAGAAATTGCATACATTTCTCCTCTACTGTATGTTCGTCCATCTCTCGATTCCTACAAATAAGAACAAATATTATTTATTTGTACTATCAGGCATACAATCAACATTATATATATTTAGACATACCAAGTCATGTTTCTTCCTTGCAAACGACTTAGATCCGAGTGTATGCGGAGCGTTCAATTTTGCTCTATTTTCGACATTTTTTTGGGCTAATTTCTACATTTGTAACAAATAAAAACACTTGTTATAGATAGGGATAACATACAAACCAAAGAAATCTAACAAATAAAAACACTAATATTACCTGTGTTTTTTCTTTCCGCCTATAATAAACAAAAACAATCCAACCGTTTTCCAGAATGCCTATGTCTTTTGGAAAATTTTGAAGATTTTCCTCCAAAGTGAGATCTCATCTGTAATATTGGCGAAACAATTGAGATCGAGCATCCCTCGATTTCTTTGAGGCAAAAGCAAATATGAATTTTTTGTCACGCCCATCATCAACAAGAAAATGGCGCTAAACATAAAAATAAAAATTAGTTGACAAAACAAATAATAATCACCATGAAATTAATTTAAAAAATATGTAATTGTTTATTAATGATACCTTTATCTTTGATTCATAAAAATTTGTTTTTGTATCCGCTGGAATATCCTTCCAACTCTCGAATATTATGGGAAAGTCTTTAAACATTCTAATAATTACACCCAAATACCCACTAATAAATCAGAAGCTTGTCCTATTGCACAATGATCCTTATCGAAGTCAAGTATTATCCATGTTCCATCTGGCTCTGATTTCGCAACCAAGTCTTTCACACATAAATATGTGTTTGAAACATTACCCTCCTCTTCTATCATATAAAAAAGTAAACAAATTAATGTCATAACTTAACTATGTAAAAAATTTAAATTATTTGCAAATACTTTAACTTTAAATTACTTACTTATGACTTTTACATCCCAATACACATATTTAGCCACTTTAACAACATCTTTAGTCTCGTCTACCACAACATCTTCAGCCTCATCTCCTACCACAACATCTTCAGCCTCATCTCCTACCACAACATCTTCGAACTTAACTCCTGCCACATCATCTTTGGTCTCATCTCCTTCCACAACATCTTCATCCTCATAATCTACCACAACATCTTTTGTAGTTTGGACTGGTGGAGGGGTTATTGTAGTTTTGATTGGAGGATGGGTTATTGTAGTTTGGATTGACAGAGAAGTTATTGTAGTTTTGATTGGGGGAGGGGTTATTGATGATTTGCGAGTTGTAGTTGAACGTAGGCGCTTTTTGTTTACTTCAAGCTCTCCAGGTTGTACAAACTTCGGACGACCCTTCACAGACTAAATAAAATGCACCAGTGAATGTTAGTCAACAATCAATACAATTAATTTGTATGGAGTAGTATTGAGAATTTATTACTAACCGGTGATGGTTTGGAATAAGACTCATGTGATTTGTTAAGGGATTGAGAGAGTGTAGGAAGATTGAGAGCCTCTAGCTTTTTATTATTCTCTATCATTCTTTTGAGGCGCGTATTCTCATATGGTGTAGTCATTGTCTCACAACAGGCTTCAACTGCAAGTATAAGTATTAAAACACAAAATAAAAGACAAATTATGCAATAAAACATAGAGTAACAATGTCATCTAATATATTAATTAGGGATACGAAACAAAAAACATAGAGTAAAAATGTCATCTAATACATTAATTAGGGATAAGCAACAAAAAACATAGAGTAACAATGTCATCTAATACATTAATTAGGGATAAGCAACAAAAAACATAAGTCTCACACAAGTTACAAACTAGACTTCTTATCAATAAAAAACTATATGTTAATTATTGTCATCATTTGCTGCTGAAGTTCCAAGATCATCATTCGAAAAAATTTGTTCTAAATTTTGTGATGGATATGGCTCAATGGGCGTCATAATTTCATCATTTCCACCCACGTCATACAAGTCTCTTGGCTTCAAATGAAAATGTATTCTCCATCCTTGTTCACTCTCATCATCCACATAAAAAACCATTTGAGCTTCTGATGCTTGAATGGATGGCTCATTATCTTCATGTTCCTCATTATGTAGTAGTCTTGCAAAGTTTATAGAGGTAAAAGCCAACTTATCTATTTTAATGCTTCTTGGGTTTGTGGTATTAGCCCATTCATATTTAAACATGGGCACTGTGAAGCCATCATAGGAAAGCACAATAATGTCTATCACTCTTCCATAGTAAGGGACCCCTCCAAATCTCATTTGAGTATCACTATTGCTTGAATAACTCCATGTCCCAAACATGCTAAAAACTCCACTGTTTTGAGTTTTTAAAATATTGTCTCGTTCCAATGTTAGAAACTTGAATCCATTGATATTGAGCGCGGTAAATCTTTTAACTTTATCAAAAGGGCCACGAGCAAGACTAATGAAAACATCTTTATCTGGTCCATGAATCCTGTCAAGATTGTTGCAAATATATACATGATACAACATCTAATTAGTCTTGTTATTATTAAAAACCAATTCAATACAAACATCTATTTTTATACAAAAACTCACACAATTACAGAATCAATGAGCAAACCCTCTACGAACCTTCTTGTCTATCTCAGCAGCACTTCTTTGACTGCGCCTCATTTGGTTATGATTAATACTTCAGAACTGCCTATTTGATTATTCGATATTACATGTAAACAAATCTTAATAGTGTAGATGAAACTACTTAAATGGAATAAAACTACTTACTTTAGATAGTCGTCAACTATTGGACAAATCGTTAAAACGTGTCTATGAGCCTCAACTTTTCAATTGGTGTTAGGGTGTAATATGAAGATCCACCCATAGGTTTTCCAACTCTAGGAAATAATTCTGCTACATGTGAACCTGTTTGGATATCACCAATAGGGTCATCATCTACATGTCCAGGTTGATTCCATATAGTCTCAATGTTTTCTAGATATCTTGAACAAAATGTCAAAATCTCTTTAAAATGGTATCCTTCCGCAATAGACCCTTCTGGTTTTGCCTTATTATGTACATGTGATTTAAGTTTTCCCAAGTACCTATTATTGAACCACAATAATATCGGTTAAATTTTTTTTCCTACTTTCTAAGTTAGTAACATTAGAACAAAATCACATAGTTTACCTTTCAACAGGATACATCCATCGATAATGAACAGGACCTCCAAGTTTAACTTCTTCAACAAGGTGAACAACCAAGTGGATCATAACCGTGAAGAACGAAGGAGGAAATAACATTTCCATGTGGCATAAAGTGAGGACAATTTGGTTTTTTAGTTTTTCCAAGTCTTCAATTTTCAATATCTTGGCACATAATTGTCTAAAGAATGAGCACAACTTAATCAAAACTGCTGAAATCTCATGAGGTAATGTTGTGCGAATGGCTAATGGTAGAAGTTGTTCCATTAATATATGACAATCATGACTCTTCATCGTTCCATTCACCTTGATATTTACTAAGTCAATGCATCTAGAAATGTTGCTTTAATAACCATCAGGCACCCTAATATTCCTTAAAGTTGTTAAAAATTTCCTTTTATCTTTACCCGTTAAAGTAAAGGCAAAGTAAAGGCTGTTGGAGAAATCCTACCATTTTCATCAGGCCAAAGCTCAAGTCTTATGCCCATATTTTGAAGGTCTTCTCGAGCTTTATAATGGTCTTTACTCTTTTGCCTATCATTTAGTAAATTAAATAGGACATTATCGCACACATTTTTCTCAATATGCATCAGATCAAGATTATGGCGCAAAAGATTATCCTTCCAATATGAAAGTTCAAAAAATATGATTTTCTTTTTCCATTATTGAGTATGACCTTGTGTAGGACCACTTTATGTACTATCACCTTCTATAAGTTGTCCCTCATGTGTTCTTTTTACCAATTTTTCTTTCACTAGCTTTTTACCAAAGATGACTTCAACATCTTTAACCTGTTCAAAAACTTCATGTCCAGATAATTTTCTCGGTGGACTCCGCATTTCTTGTTCACCATTAAAGCAAATCATGTTCAATCTAAACCCGTGTCTCCGATCAAGGAAATGGCGATGACCCATAAAATACCATTTACGGATAGCTTTAAGACGAAGAGGTGTAGTTTGAAAGTTACATGATGGGCAAGAAAGTCCTGCGTATGTGTTCCACCCAGAAAGTGCACCTAAACCTGGAAAGTTACTAATCGTCCACATCAAATTTGCATGCAACTTGAACATCTCTTTCTTGAAAGAATCGTATGTATCCACACCATCTGTCCATAGCTCCTTTAGCTCTTTGACTAAGGGTTGTAAGTAGACATCAATATTATTTCCTGGTGTTTCTTTACCGGGAATTATCATTGACATTATAAATGATGTTTGCTTCATGCAAACCCATGGAGGAGTGTTATATGGAATGAGAATAATTGGCCAAATACTATTGTTTGTACTCATCACACCAAAAGGATTAAACCCATCACTAGCCAATGTAAGATGTACATTTCGCGGATCTGATGAAAACCAAGTATGTGTCAAGTCAAATTTCTTCCAAGCTTCTGAATCTCTAGGATGCCTCAACATTCCATCATTGTTAGTATTTGTTGCATGCCATATCATATCCTCGACCGTCTTTGATGACAAAAATAATCCCTGTAATCGAGGTTTTAATGGAAAATAACGAAGAACCTTGGCAGGAATTTTCTTCTTTTTATTGTTAACAGAGACATCTTCATTTGTTTTCCATTTTGTAGTGTTGCAATTTTTGCAAGTCTCCCTCTTTTCATCTTCTCCCCAATAAAGCATACAACCATTTGGACATGCAGATATCTTTACATAATTCAAACTAAGTTTTGTGATTGATTTCTTGGCTTCATAGGACGAACTTGGAATGTTTGCATATTCAAATGCATCTTTTATTAACTCTAAAATCATTTTCATTGCCTTTTCACTCAATTCCAATAAACACTTTATATGGTACAACTTAACCAAAAAATATAGTCTTGAATATCGTCTACACCCTTAATATAAAGATTGTTCTCCTTCTCTAGCCAATTCATAGTACTCCTTGGCTTCATTTCTTTCCTGAGTTGCACTTGGCATCACATAATCTTCTTGGTCAATCTCCAAATTTGACACATATGGTATTTCATTTGCATGATTCCTATCAACTCCGAATGCATCGTTGATCATGTTCTGAATAAGATCTTCGACAATGATAGTATCTTCAACCATATTTGGAATAGTACTAGGGGAGATAGTACTAGGTTGTACAAAAGACTCTCCATGATGGATCTACATGGTGTATCCCTGCGGAAATGGTGACCAACTTAAGTGGTCGAACATGTCACTCTTACTCTTTGATTTTCTGAAACCACAACGTTTGCAAGGGCATATTACTACATCATTTTCTTTTGCAACTTTAAATGCAAAATCAATAAACTATTTTATCCCTTGCTGATACGCAATCGATGGTAATGCTTAGTAATCCATGACTTATCCATTTCTTCAAAAAAATAAAAATATAGATATTATATTATATGTTCAAGAACTCTAGTACTTACGAAAATATCTTATTTTGAATATAAGCAATAGAAAAATAAAAGAGATAGAGTTTTAGTATTGGTTGTTTAATTTGTTTTTACACACACGACACAAGATTTAAAAGATAAAGTACACATAGACAATTCTGAGCAGGTAGTGGCAATATATTTTCTAGTATAAAAAAGGTGGCGGCAATATATCATAACTAGAAAACAAGCATCACTTCTAATCAGTTTTTTTGCTTGTAATTTAGTACTTTTCATTCTTGAATAATTTATTTTAAATTGGATTTATATTATGAAGTATAACAAGCTTTTTAAGTTGCATCCACATTAAGTTTGTTTAGAAATTTTGTCTTGTCATGTTCAGAACTTATAAAATCTATTAGTGACTTTTTGGAATCATTCATCTCATTTAGAAAATTAGAAGCAGTTGCTTACAAGTTATATACCTATCTCATTTAAAGGCTTCTCTTTTACATGATTACAATAGCAATTCCAAATATTAGAATAGTTTATATTCACAAAGAGTATTAACTTCTTTTGTATTTCCTATACATGAGTATAGCAACAAAATTGTTCCAATATGTTGTAATCTTATTCAAATATATTCAAACTCCAGTTTTTCAATAAACATAATCCTCAGTATCTCAGTTTGAAGTTAGCAAAGGGTGTGAGTGTGACTGCTACATTTATATGATAATAATATCAAGACCTTGAGCTTGTCATAACCTGTACGTACTGATTCACCTCAAACTACACGACTCTCCTACACAAAATTCTATGCATTCAATTATTCATGTGAATTCACTAACACTAATGCATATTAACTTCTTTGTTTAAAATTGTGGCTTAAATTCTTATTATTATAACCATACTATATAATTTTGAAAATAAAATTATCTTCAATACTCTACTACTAATTTTATAGCTTTGAGTAAGCTAAAAAAATGATTGTAGGGGAATGACAGACACAAACCTTTCCTTCATTCCTTACAACTTACCTATCTCACTTAAAAGTCACTTCAAATAATGGCTTATGAGGAAGTACTTGCTTCATAATGCATCTCCGTTCAGAGAAAAGCTGTCGTTTTCATATCCGCGCCTATACATCTTAAACCTACCAATGTCAAGCCGTCTATTCTTCTTATGGCTACAATTATATTATTTATCTTCTTATTATACTAAAATTTGGTTATACCAATTTATTATATTAAATCAAATTATAACTATTTATTATCTAAATTCCTATTATACCTCATTAAATTTTACATCTTAAGATTCACCATTATTTTTCATTTAAAAAATTTCCATAATTAAATTTTACCATAATTGAATGAAAGAATAAAAGAAGAAAAGATGCATTTAAGCAGGTTTAAAACAAATATATTCCACCCTGTTGGAAATCCACCTAATACTATGATGAATTTCGACCAATAATGATGATTAGTTATGAAAAAAACAAATAAAAGAAGACAAGACAATTATTTCTGCAGAGTTTCTCTCTGCCCACAAACTGTGGAAAACTTTCTTATTCACTTTGCAACTGCAAAATACTGTGAATGACTTGCTTTTAAAAATAGGGGTTACTCCCTCTATTTATAACTGAGCTTACACTCTAAGCCCAAAGCGCAAAATATCTTTTTGTTACTAAATCAAATCTAATCAAATCTATTCTAGACTTAAATCAAATCTATTTAAATCTAAAACAAATCAAATCTTCTTTGACACATATGAATTACAATTTAACACACCACCTAATTCATTGTGTCTAAACTGTCTATGTTCATCATGACCCTTAGCTTTCTGAATACTTCGACTTGCACTCCCTTCGTCATGATGTCTGCAATCTGATTCTCAGTTCTGCAGTGTTCCAAATTCATCTTCCCATCTGCTACCTGCTCTCGAAGATAATGGAACCTCATTTCGATGTTCTTACTTCGACCATGTGCTATTGGGTTCTTTGCCAGATTAATAGCTGACATGCTGTCTATCTTCATGGTAATTGCTCCATGATCTTTTCCTGTTATCTCTTCGACCAAGTTCACCATCCAGGTTGCTTGACATGCACAAAGAGAAGCAGCTATGTATTCTGCTTCGCATGATGATAATGCCATTACTGGTTCTTTTCTCGAATTCCAAGCAATTGGTGCACCACCTAGCATAAACACATATCCTGTTGTTGACTTTCGATCTTCAGCATCACTATACCAACTCGAATCAGTGTATCCCACTAACTTGCATTCTTTTCCTTTATCAACTGCAGGAAACAAAATTCCATAATCGAAAGTTCCTTTGAGATACCTTAGTATCCTCTTCACTGCTACTAGATGTGATACCTTTGGCTTCTGCATGAATCTACTTACCATACCTACACTGTATGCTAAGTCAGGCCTTGTATGACAAAGATATCTTAATGATCCAATAAGTCTTCTATATTGGGTTGGATCAACATCATCTTCATCTGCATCTTTCGACAGTTGCAGTCTTGGTTCTGCAGGTGTCGAAGTTGAGTTGCATTCTTCCATCTCAAACCTCTTGAGAATTTCTCCTGCATATCTTCTTTGATGCATCATCAAACCTATACTGCTCTTGAAGAATTCAATACCAAGGAAGTATGAAATCTCTCCCAAATCATACATTTCGAATTCCTTGTTGAGATCACCTTTGAAGTCTTCGATCTCACTTTTACAGCTACCTGTTATCAACAAATCATCTACATAGAGACATAGTATAAGCAATTTACTCTTGCTTCTTCTTACATATACTCCATGTTCAGTTATGCACTTCACAAATTCCTTCTCCCTTATAAAACTATCAATTTTCTTATTCCAAGCCCTTGGAGCTTGTTTTAATCCATACAGGGCTTTATGTAGCCTGTACACCTTTCTTTCTTCGTCATGTTTCACAAACCCAACTGGTTGTTTAACATAGACTTCTTCATCTAAGGGTCCATTTAGGAATGCACACTTCACGTCCATCTGACATATGTGCCAACTGTTTATTTCTGCTAGACCAACAACCAACCTGATTGTTTCGATCCTAGCAACAGGTGCAAAAACTTCATCGAAGTCTATTCCTTCTTTCTGTAGAAATCCTTTCGCCACAAGTCTTGCTTTGTGTCGAGTTACTTCACCTTTCGAATTCGTTTTCACTTTGTATACCCGTTTGACATCAATTGCCTTCTTGCCTTGAGGCAATTCGACAAGTGACCAAGTGTTGTTGTCTTCGATATACTTTACTTCTTCGTTCATTGTTTTCACCCACTTCGAATCTTTTAATGCTTCAGCTGCATTAACAGGTTCGACATCTGCATAGAAAGCATAATATACCAGCTCACCTTCATTATCTATTACATCATCTGATGTAATCACACAATCTTGCAATCTTGCAGGCATGCGTCTTGTTCTTTGAGGTCTGCTTGTACTTGGTATATCTGCTGGTTCCTCTTGTCGAACTTCTCTTTCGACTTGAGTTTCTGGCTCTTCGAATAGGATTCCCACTGAATCTTTCTTGACATTTGCAGTCCAATCCCATTCTTTAAACTCATCTATGATCACGTCCCTGCTGATCACAATCTTCTTTTTCTCTGGATCGAACAACTTGTAGCCTCCTGTCGAATGATATCCAACTAGAATCATTTGACTTGACTTATCATCAAGTTTTCTTCTCAACTGATCTGGCACATGTCTATGTGCAATAGATCCAAATACCTTCAAATGACTCAAGCTAGGTTTCACACCAGACCAACATTCTTCTGGAGTATTTCCTTCTAGCTTCTTTGTAGGACATCTGTTCAAAATGTATGTTGCAGTCGAAACAGCTTCACCCCAGAACTCTTTAGGTAAATTCTTGCCTTTCAACATACTTCTCACCATATTCATGATGGTTCAATTTTTCCTTTATGCAATTCCATTTTGCTGTGGAGTATAGGGTGGCACCACCTCATGCATAATCCCTTCCTTTTCACATAATCTGTCGAAGTCTTTCGACACATATTCTCCTCCACCATCAGTTCTCAAAACTTTGAGCTTTCGACCACTTTGTCTTTCGACCATAGACTTAAACCTGGTAAATACTTCGATCACTTCACTTTTCTTCTTGATCAGGTAAGTCCATAACTTTCGAATGAAATCATCTATGAATGTAATAAAGTATTTGTTACCTCCCATCGAATCCACCTGGATTGGTCCACATACATCAGAGTATATGACTTCAAGACTAGCCTTCGATCTGCTTCCTGCATCCTTGCTGAAGCTATTCTTGTGTTGCTTCGCCTGCACACATTCTTCACATACTTCATTTGGAATGTCAATTTCAGGCAATCCTGAAACCATATTTCTTCTCTTCAAATCTATGATGTCTCTGAAGTTGAGATGGCCTAGTCTATAATGCCATATCCATTCATCTCTGCTAGTTGCAGTCGAAAGGCACTTCTGCTCCATCACATTTAGTTCAATCTTGAAGGTTCGATTCTGAGTCATAGGAGCCTTCAAGATTAATCTCCCATTTGCATCAACGACTCTCATCAACTTATCTTTGATTGACACTTTATAATTCTTTTCGACCAACTGCCCTATACTGAGCAAATTGCTCTTCATGCCTGGTATGTACAATACATTGGAAATTACTGACCTCTTGCCATCTTTCCTCATGATCATAACATCACCAATACCTTCAGTTGCTAGGGTATTGTCATTTGCAAATTTTACCATATTTTTTGTTGAGGGTTTTATATTGACGAACCAGTCTTTCCTTCCAGACATATGTGATGAACATCCTGAATCCAAGTACCATTGGTCC